TATAGGCTTTGTACCTGCGTGTACGGATTGCCTCCGCGCTTCCACCGCGTTCGTCCAGTCTGTGGATAAAGTTATAGCGGAACCAGAGGTGGCTTGCTCAAGTTTGTGCATTCGCCGAACGGCCGATGAGATTGGTCTATTCGGGGTGTTTCGCTTTTTTCTTTTTTTACAGCGAAGCTGTTTATGGTTAGTGTTCCGTAGATTTTTTCGTGTGCATGACCAAAAACTCTAGGCTTGCACCGCACCCTCGTGCCGTACGTGCCGGCGTCTGCAGCAGTATCTGTTCTAAGGCAAAAGCCTAAAACAAGTGGCATCTTGCATTCACGTTTGTTAATGCTTTATTTTGGTTATTTACTTCGAATCTTTTATACAGGGAAGGCCTGCGCGTGCGGCTCGTGGAACACAATTTCTTGCACTCTCCTTGAAGCCTGTGTCAACGTTACTGGAGCTTGCTCCAGTAACGTTGGCCTGGATTGCAGTTCCCTTTCTTCAATTTCGCCTCCCTTCTCTCGTCTAGATAGGGAAGCAGCGTATAGTCCGGACTCCCGATGAGCAATGCGCCTACGAAGAGCAACGGTGGGAACGGCAACGGGAGTGTCAGCGGTGGCGGCGGGCGTACCTTTCGTCATGATGACCACCGGTCAAGGAATCAAATCTGTTCGTACCTTTGCTCAAAATTCCGTGTCACGTCTGTGTCGTGCGCTTCACTTCAGCTTCGCTCGTCATCACCCTCCACAGAGTTGAATGGCCCTCAATACTTTCATCTCGATAAAACTGGTCATGAGGTTAACTTTTGGTGTTTATCGATCTTTACCGAAAACACGAAATCCTAGGCACAATTAGTAGATTATCGCACTCGCGTGTGTGTTATTGTTTTCAAGACACCAAGTCGTAAATTCTGGCGAGAAATGACTTTGGCGTCCTTAAGCTCAAAGCGGGAATTTTATCGTCGTTCATAGAAGGACCCAGCGATGGGTGAGATACAATGCTGCATTTTTGCCCAAAAATACGCGCGCGATGAAGTTCTCAAGAGGTTTCCGCTGCAAATTGTGTATTTTTGATCAGACGTTTTGTTGCTCTATATACGCTAGTTTTTTCACACCTCGATATACAGGGTGTTCTTTTTTTTAGCTGCACCAAATTTTCAAGAAAAGGGAACGTGAGATACAGTAATTTAAGACCTGGGGAAGTGTTAATGATGGCCATGGCGGCCTCTAGAAAAATGGTGAAATTAGGCAATTAGTTAGCTCATTATATAGAATGTTTTAACTAACTTTTTAAATTTTTCACTTGAGAGCACACAATGCATTTAGAGAATTGAAGCTCAACCTCAATATGATCTAGCCTTGCCATCAATTTTTAATTAAAGATTTGTAGTAGGTGCTACGGGGTAAAGAAATTCCACTTTGATGCACGGCGTCAAACCGAAACTAAGCGAGAAAGAGCGCCGGTAAAGTTTTTTGCTCCGCCCTTTCGGGCATGCGATTTGTTATTATCGCGGCCGGCTCCACTTGCTTAGGCGAAGCTGGCTGTGATAACGACGATCCACGGGGGCCGGAAGGGCGGAGCGATTACTTTACCGGCGCTCTTTCTCGTTTAGTTTCGGTTTGACGCCGTGTACCAAAGTGACATTTCTGGACCTCGTAACACCTACTACAAATGTTTTAACCAAACTTTGCTGGCAGGGCTAGACCATATTGAGGTGGAGCTTCAATTCTCTAAATACATTATGTGCCCTCAAGTAAAAAATTAAGAATTTAGTTAAAACATTTTAGTTAATGAGCTAACTAATTACCTAATTTCACCTTTCATCTAGAGGCCGCCATGGACATTAACACTTCCCCAGAGCTTAAATTACTCCATCTCACGTCCCCTGTTTTTGAAAATTTGGTGCAGCTAAAAAAAGAGACACCCTGTATTTCTGCTTATAATAATAATATTTTGGCCTTTACAAATAGCTTCACGAGCCGTCACTTCCCGAGTCACAGACACTAAAGCATGTGTTGGGTGTCTGCTCAAAGAGCAAAAGGTTAGTCAGCTCCAATGAGCGTCTGGTGTTTCTGCTGTACATGAGAAATGTTCCCAGTGACTGCTAGCCCGGGGTCTTTAACGTGCATCACCGAGTATGGTGAGGCGCAACCGCTCGACGGTACGATGCTCATCCAGGTCGAAACAAGCGGGGGCGGGGTCGAACACGGTGTGTGGAAGCGTATTTGTTTACAAAATCTCGTAAATTATGATTCGTCCCGCCGAGAAAGGTCACCAGTCACCGCGGACATTGTGTCTGTATCTGACATAGCACTTGAGTTACATTAAAACTAAGTGAAGTGAGAAGGTCGCACTGGTAAGCTTTTTTCAGTCTCACTCAAAATCCGTCACTGTCGTGAAATCTCGGTGTTTCATTTCAAAAGACGCGGCTGGCGGTATCTGCGCTTTCCCTGACTCGAAGCACGCATGGCGTCAACACCGAGTCTAGCTCCAGCGATACACACAAGACAAAGAAGAGCTTGAGGACAACCACGCCCACGACAGATATGATTCGTCGACCAAGCAAAAACATGCGGTGACACGTTGGCACACATCACATGCGTGCGGGAAGGACGCAAATCATTCCCCATCGCTGGACATGCGAGCACGCTGAACCAAAAAGGCCGCAACAGCAACGCCCACGCGGACCTGATATATGCGACCAAGGTTAAATTGCGTGCAAGCTTCATCTCCGAGCTAGCATGGCACAAGTCGATAAGTGCATTTACGATGAACAGTGTGCGGCACGCAGGCCAGTGTACCCCTCCGCGTGTGAATTTCTGATGTCCTGTCTACATATAGGGCCTGCATAATTCACGGGCTCATCACAACTCTACGTTTGGTCGGAGGGGCGTTGGGGTGTACGAGTTCAGCCGATATTGGGCAGAGGCAATTCAATCCCTTTAGTTTTGTCGAATTCTCTTGTATTTATTGCTTTATTTTAATTTGAACCCCATAAATAACTTCAATAAACCACTTTTTTTTGTTGTTTTTTTTGGTTTGGCAGAATTAAGTTAGAGGGCGGGACTCTATATAACCAACTTTCAAAGTTTGGTTCTAACCTTTCACACCTCTTCCTCGGATATCTTCGCAAATACATTGTTTTTTGTAAATTCTCCGACATACATTAAAATTACCCAATTTTATTGACCATCCGTAATGGCTAAAATTACGCCCGGCGCTTATATAGAAAAATTATTTCCTTTTTTAAATTATTTTGATTACAACGCAATTCTTGAGTTGTATTATTATAAGGACACTGGGATTAACCAATAAGAAAATGCGAATATAAAGTAAACATTTTGGGAGAATCTCGGACAATTGTCATTTTATTTGCATTGACCCGCACTGCAGCAATCATTAATGCCGACACAATTTTGGTCATTAAGTTTCTAGGAATTAAGTTTTGGGGTTATGCGCGCATTTCGTAAGACTAGAACTGCGCCTTATTTTAGTATATCTTGGGCACGAGGTGATAGCTAACGTCTCGTGACTCAGCTCCAGCCTACAAAAACTAGAATGGCTATAATATAAAAAAATAACAGCAGATAACACAGAAAAAAAGCATGTGACCACACTGTGAGATAATAAAAAAATATATATAGTGGTCTTTGAGAGCGATTTTTAATTCATGCGCCGCAGGTGTGACAAGAAATGAACTCTTCAATATGGTAAATAATAATTCACTACAGGTTTCTGACAGAGTAGTTTTGTAAACATAATCGTAATGAACACTGAGGGAGTAAGCGGAGATGCAATAATGTTTATATAATCCTATGCGTCGTACGACAGGGTGTACTGTTGCAGTGCGAGGGGTTAAAGGACTTTCGTCGGTTAAATCGATGGGGTTCCACAGCGATCATATTTATATCTAAACTACACCTTCTATTGGTCACATTTGTGCGACCCAGTATCGTTTCAATGTGAATAAAATAAATGAAGTACAATTGTACCGCGAAACCCTATACTACCACCAAGGACTCGGGAATTTAAATTGAAGGAAAAGAAAAATGATTGTCCGCCTCCAACCATCCAACTCTGAAACCCGAGAATCCTCTTGCGGAGAGATTCAAGTTGGCATTCAGTCAATTTGTTTCAGACGGTAAAATTATATATATAATGAAAAGCTTTGAAAATACGTTTATTTGCTTGGACGAATACTACGTCGATCTATCGCGACTCGTAAGAAAGGAAATAATATTTTAGCATAAATTCAGCTTAAAGAGTAAGCATCATATTCCATCTCCCGAGTAGGAGGATATAAAAATAAACACGATTAACTTTGAGAATTCAGGAGAAATACTACAACAGACAAAAAACACCCGAGACTCTAAAACGACGTTTTTTTCGCCGCTCAGCGTCGTGTTAAGTTTCGCATATGTCATAGCGAATGAAACATTGGACGACACAAAAGAGAACTGAAAATTAAAGTGAAAGACGGCGAAAGTCGAGATGACTGTCGGTAGTTCTCCGGGCTAAATTTGGAAGGCTTTTTCCCCACAGTAAAATGAAACCCGCCTAGCATAAAAAAAAAAAGAAAAACACTCCTGGTGTTTTAACAAATCGGCATCCCCTAGGAGAAAGGTATACATATAAAAAAGATACCTGCAAATGTTACAATACGTGCAAATAAGTAAAGTGATAAACTTCATCGAATGGAGTCGTTGTCAGAAGAAAATAAAGTGCACACCAGCAGATTTCGGTTGGCACGTCGGTGTCACCAAACGGAGTAAATTTGAACGTAAAGACGGAAATTAAGTTTTAAACAAATGCCAAAAAATGTGCGTTATGCGTTTCATGAAACAAGGTAGTCGTTCATTCGTGTCTCTCAGTTATTTCCGGCGCCATACTATGCCACAACACACACTTCAATAAGGTATAAACATAGTACTGATACATCGTCTCAAAGAATCGGCGATCGCATCGCGATGAATGTCGCAACTACGGTAAGAATCAACTCCATATCAACGCAGTCAGAGAATGTACCTGGACTTCGTGGTCGTAAAGGGCAGAATTCTCCTACCTATCACCTTAGAGAAGACGGCCCTGGTGAGCGGGTAAGGCCCTTCCCCACAAAAGCCGGAAAAATCGTCCCACGAAGGGTCCCAGACACCGATGCACTTGGCTGACCCCGTAACCAGTCCCAGCTGAGTGATGAGCTCTCGAAGAGAGGACCTGTTCTGAAACACTACCCACTGGTTGACCCTGGTGCCGATGACGCCGTAGTTGACCCTTCGCGCCCGATCCCAGCGCTCGCCACACACTTCATCGTAAGACAATAGCCCGGGCTGATCCGTGCTGACTCCGGGCTCTCCAGGACCCCGGGTTGGAGCGCCGATTTCTGACTGGGCTGACTCTTCGAGCGTGAAGGACAGCGCGTGTACGGGAAGCAGGTAGCACAGCTTGAAGCGGCCGTCACGCATTTGTCCGTGCACGTTCTCCAAGGTTCGCATGAAAAGACCAGCGTACGTACCGACCGTCGAGTCTCGAAGGGGCACGAACGTGGAATCGTAAGCGACACCGTGAACCTCCGTGGGATCGACGAGGATGGTATAATCGTCCAGGATACGAGCAAGTTCCAAGATGTTAAACCTTTCTCCGAGGAGAGCATCGAGAGGCACTACGAGTCCCGTGGTGAGGTTGGCACGGAGAAGTATCCTCCGTAGATTTCGCATCATATCCACCACCTTGTCCTTCTGGTCAAGGAAGGGAAACCTCCAGTAGAGCACCATGCCGTCAAAGCGGAAGAGTCGTATCCAGTCTGTGACCGCCTGAGCGAACTGCTGCCTTGCATCTATGCTGTCGGCGATGTGGGAAAAGCCCTCGTAGTCCCTGTCCTCTCCACCGAGCCCAATGTAGATCCGCAAGTGGGGATTTCTTTCCTTCATGGAGGCGAACGTGGCCAGAGAACCCTCACCTATGTCCACGTCGTAGTACTTGGACGTAACTTTCAGCTCTTTCGAGATGCCTGCGCAGCAGTAGACAACGTGCGTGCACAGGTGGTATGGGAACGTCCACGCTTTGTAGCGGATGCCGTTGCGCATACGCCCGGAGCCTGCCGCGTGGAACATGCAGACGCTCTTGCGCCGACCCATGTAATCCCGTGCAGGGAGGAGCGGGAAGTCGCGGATGAATTGAGGCCTCGTTGTCGTCGTGTCCATCGGTTGCCATTCGTAGTCAGGGTCCGAGCGGTCGGGAATTTCTCGATACTGCCAGTAAATGTGAAACCGATTGGAAGATAGTAGAGGCCGCGAAGCGCTGACTGGATTGATCTTCCACGGCCGAGTTGGCTCCAACTTCGGCGGTGAGCTGGGCCTCAGTGATACGTGGTGTGCGCTTGGAGGATCCTCATCGTCATCAGTCTGAAACAAGACGCTATCGTGGTAGGTGGTGTTGCGCATGATGTACACCTGGAGCGCTAAGGCGACGGAGAACATGACTACGAGGGCTACAGCAACGCAGAAGACAGTCGTGCAATGACACACAGAAATTGGCAACGCATTCAGGAGGATGCGCGCTTCCGGGTAGCGTTCTAGGAGAGGCAGCAGTGGTCCAGGCAGAAACGGAGAAGGCTCCCAATCGGCTGGCTCTTGGACCCTGGGTTCGCTAAGGCTGGTCCAGCGGCTTCCGCACGCTTTACACAAGGATTCTCCGCCAAAAGAGTGGTCCTGATACTCATTGATGGCGAGGTCCCTTGCCGCGTTTTCAACAGCCATAAACGCTGTACGTTCGAGAACAGGCTATGCAACTCAATATCCAGAAGTGCTTGCCGGTGACTTCTTTTTTGTCGTCTTTCGAGCTTAAAACAAAAAGATTTCTGAACACTTCGTCTTTTACAATTTCTTGTATTCGCACACTGGGCGCGGTTCCTACTTGACTGTCGCAGCTGCATCACGCGCTTAGTGAGTTGTTTTGGCAACCTGAACTGGATGATATGGTCTGTAGTACAATAAAGATTTTACATACAACAACAGTCCAGTCTTTGGTATAAACAGTGCAGTGGAGCATGCCAGCCACTTCGGCATGCGAGGCAAGCGTAAACAAAAGGTCAAAAAGCGCGAACAAACGGGGACAATAATGAAACATGAACGACAGGACAGGCGCTTCCCTGTCAACTGGTTTTTATTATCACCATCGGCACCTATATATATATATATATATAAAACTGAGAAGAAAAAAACCCTTAGTGAAAAACAGCAACAACGGACGGTTTAATCTTCGACGTTTCGGCCGGAGTAGTTCTCTTCAGCTCCGTGAAGAGAACGGCTGAGGTATACAACAGGCCTCTAATCCCCAGTTTCCTCTTCCTGGAGGAGGATGGCGCCGAGACCGGTTCTGGAAGCATCAGTGTGGACCTGGAGGCCGTATTTAGAGTCTTCTGAGAAGTGCTTCAAGACGGGAGGTCCACATTAATCAGATTTTAGTTCATGGAAAGCGTGTTCTTGTGAAGCACCCCATGTGAAGGCTTCTTTTTTCAGGAGCTTTCTAAGGGGGCTGCGATGGCACTATGGTTCTAAATGAACTTTCGGAAATAGGACGTCAGTCCCAAGAACGATTGAACTTCAGCCACAGCTCTAGGAACGGGGAATTGCGTTACGGCATCGACTTTCTGCGGATCAGGTGCAATACCTTTCTGGGATACAATATGTCCAAGGTAAGTCACTCTGATGGAAAAAAAATGGCACTTGTGCGGTTTGAACTTGAGATTTGCTGCCTCAAAACGCGCGAAAATATTTCCCAGTTGTCGAAGGTGCTCTTGGAACGTTGTGCTGTAAACAATGCAGTCGTCCATGTAGACCAGTGCGTTGAGATACTTTAGATCCCCGATAATGGCATCTACAGTTCCCTGACACGTTGCCGGTGCCCCTTTTAACCCGAACGGCATTCTCAGAAATTCATACAGCCCCCGCTGCGTAACATAAGCTGTCTTAGCGGTGTCGCCAGGTTCCACCTCTATTTGGTAGAATCCTGAAAGGAGGTCCAATGTTGAGAAATACATGCTCCCACTCAATGCCGCCAGAGCATCATCGATTCGTGGTAGTGGATAGACAACGTTTTCAGTTACAGCATTTAGCTCCCTGTAGTCCACACACATCCTTGTCGACTTGTCCATTTTTGAACTAGAACCAGTGGTGATGCCCAGGAGCTTTTGGAGGGCTGGATAATTTTTGCACTCATTCGGTCTTTTATCATAGACTTCACCAAACCTCTTTGAGCCGGTGAAATTCGCCTTGGGTATTGTGCAATTGGTTTTGCACCCCCAGTAGAAATGGAATGTTTCTCTATCGTACAAGATCCCAGGTGTGCAGTCTTGGTTGCAAAACTAGAATGATATTTCATCAACAGTTGTTTTACTGCCTCCAGCTCTTCGGAGTTCAGCGAAGCTCCCACGTTGAAGCTCAACTCATCAATTATTATCTGCTGCGTTTCGTTGCGGACTTTCGACACATCTTTCTGGTTCTCAAGATCAGAAACACTGGAACATTGCAGGACTGATTCCCATTCGATGGGAGACAAGTCAACCGATTCAACAGCTTCTACCTTTTCTGCTGATCCTAAACATGCCCTCGCATGTATTTTGGATGGCCTCAAGGAAAAGTTTGTAGCCAAAAGTTTGAAAGTTTTTGTTCCTGCATGGATGACTGTCGGTTGCAGTTCCAACAGGTACCGTTCAATAGCTGATTGAGAACCTGTTACGTATAAGACATCGCGACTTGTCTCGCCGTCGGGGACTTCCAGCACGACTTCGATGACTTTCCGGGAAAGAGGCGGTACTACTTGGGTGGTCGTTGCATAAACCTTGAGTGGTTTTTCGGCTTGGATCAAAAACGTGTTTGTACCCCAGTCGATAAATGCTTTTGATGAGCGTAGAAAGTCATCTCCAAGTAAGACTAAGTCTTTCTTTAAATGTGGGACAACCACAAAAGTCTGTCGGAATGACCTTGCGTCCACCGTAATGTCGACACTCAATTCTTCATTATTTTCAAGTGGCAGCCCATTTGCTCCCACAACTTTCAGGGAAGATTTTGAAGGTGTCATCTGAAGTCTCTGGCAAACAGCTTCATTCACAAGGCTTCTGGTGGAACCAGAATCCAAAACTGCACTTTGTTCAAGGGATCCCATAAAGACTGGGACCCGTTTGACGCCCGCAGAAGATTCACAGCTAACGCGCTGCACTTCTGATGTCTCCCCGCAGGCCCCGAAGACACCAGGTCGGAGTTTTCCAGGTCAGTCGGAACGTTAGGCTCCGCTTGAAATGCGCGCTGCCATTCAAAAAATTCTTGCGTGAGAGACTGGGGGCACCATGTAACAAAGTGGCCTTCCTGTTTGCAATATAGGCAAAGCTTGAGTACTTTCCGATGGGATCCTTGAGCCTTGGTCTGGGCTGCATTGTTCTGGCGACGGAATTACCTTTGGTAGGTCAGGCTTGGTCGTGGTTTGTCATTCTCACTGCTCGCTGCATCGTATTCCTGACGTTTTTCCCCAGGCTGCTGTTGCCGATCAAGTTTGACGAAACTGCACAGCTCATCGGCCCCTCCTTCGTGGAAGTTCGAAACTTTTAATGACTTCTCTTCGGGATTCTTGGCTTTTCCGCTTGCCCGATAAAACTTCATAAAAGAGTCGAGCAAGTCATCAAGCGATGTGAAGCTTTTATCGAAATACATCCGCTTTGCCTTGTCGTTCAGCGATTCAAGAAGCAATTCGCACTTCTCGGCTTCGCTTCCTGTGAAGACACATTCTTCTATCAGTTGCAGCTTCTGAATAGCGTACTCCATGCACGTTTCTGTGGAGGTCTGTCTTCGAGCAAACATTGCTCTTTGATTTTCCACAGGGCTTTCTTAATTGTAGTGCCGCCAAAACGCGGACTTCACGTCATTCCAAGTGCTCATCTTCTTGGAGTTAAGCTCGAAGCGCATCCAAGCAACATCTTTGGAAGGTAACTTTGATATAAGCAGCGGCAGTGCGATATCTTCCGGCAGCCCATAAATTTTCAGCCAAAATTCGACCTGATGGAACCAACCAATTACGTCAGTGGCAAGGAGGGGAGGTGCACTTACGGCCGCGGTGGATGGCTGAACTTGATGGTTGATGGTATCTCCTTTTTCTCCCAGCGTTCACGCGACACCGTCACACATGATTTTTTTTTTCTTCGTCCAAGCAAGCTGTAGCCCCGTTCGTAACAAGCATAATAAGCGTGGGCACCATTCCACCCATGGAATCGCCAGTCTGCCGAACGTCGGTAGGAAAAAAGGCGAGGTCTCCAGCTTTATGGCCGAGTGTATCAATAAATTGTATCTTGTATACTACAAAATCATGCTGAGAGCAAATGAGCCTAGCAACAGCGTGTGACGCAACTATTTATTCAATCTATACTTATCTCTTCAGCAGTGAGCACCTCCAGTCCCCACTTCTTCTTTCTGAGCTCAAACTAAAGTACAGTACTCACTTTTTCACACACAAAGAAGAAGCTTTTTGGGTCTTGTCGCTTGGTTCAGTAAAACAGCTCGCTTTTTAAACACTTGAAACTTCCTGTAAATAGAAGGTCTCTATTCAACTGGTAGAACTTGGGATTGCAAACTGTGTTTGTAAAAGCTACAGAAACAAAAGAAGTCACTTGAGTGGTATATTACTGAAAAAAAAATGTTTATGCGAATACATAAAAGAATAAAACATCGAGTACGGGGATGGAAACAGGACTACTTTGAAGATAAAAGAAGGGCTGTTTTCGTTCCCGTTCTCGATGTTTTATTCTCTCATATATTCGTATCGATCTGTTCATTAACACGCTCGTTTTCAATTTTTGTTTTTATGACTTCCAACATTTCTAAAACTCGAGTCTCAGGTTTTTAAGCTGTTGAAAGTTTGTTATGTCTAAACTATTTCATTATTAATACAAGCAAAGCAGATCTGGTTGAGTAAATTTGTTTTCAGTGTTTGTTGCTCATGAGTGGCCCTGGAGTAAACTTGTTGCTGGAATGGTACCAGTTACAATCTAGAGACCTCAAACTTAAGAAAAGGGGTTTGCCACCTATACTCGGCGTCAACTATTTTGCGCCACGTTTTCAAGGCTAGCATTCTACAATGCTGCAGTTTCGCGCTACTGCGAAAGCACTTTGCTTCTCCTTGCGTCTCATTCGCAGGCGCTGACACAAGAGCTTCGTCAGCGTTGAAGCACTGCAATGATGCACTAGCTTCACAACGTGGAACAAAACTGTTGACGCCGTGCATAGTGGCAGAGCAGCCCAAGTAGAACTACTTCCATCGCAAGTAGTATCACTTGCAGCCCAAATGGCACAACTTGCTGTTCAAGCCATGGCATTTGCAGCACAAGTAATACCACTCGCAGCCCACATAGTACCCCTCGTACTCAAACTGGTATCATTTGCAGTTTAAGTAGTGCCACTTGCATCCAAGTGGTACCATTCGCAACCCGAAT